CCAGAGGCATGTCTTATATCACTATAGTATTATCAAAATCAAGAAAGCATTGATACAATACTGTAACATAGGTATAGACTATTCAGATGTTGTCGTTTATCACAGTAATGTCTTTTATAGGGAAAGAAACCCTCTCCCCATATCCATAGTTGCATTTAGTTGTGAGATATCTTAATTAGTCTCCTTTAATCTGGAACATTTCCTCAAGTTTTACTTGACTTCAATGACCTTGACATTAGAACATTTCACTGCCACCAGGTCTTCAGCACTTTAAAAAAATTTTTTTTTTGCTTTTTGAGGCAGGATCTCACTATGTAGTTTAGGCTGGCCTGGAACTCACTTTGTAGCCCAGGCTGGCCTCAGAGTTGCAGTGATGCTCCTGTCTCAGCCTCCCGAATGTTGGGATTACAGGCACGCTTTAGCATTTTTTTGATCATAGCTTTATTGAGATATAACTCATACACCATCCAGTGCATCCAATTCAAATGTATAATTCCACAGTTTTTAGTATATTCAGAGTTGTGTGACCATTACTACAAAATAACATTGGAACAACTTTATCACTTTGTGAAGAAACCCATTTCTCTTAGCCTCTCTTCCATCTCTCCATCATCTATACAGCTTGTCACTAATGTATGTTGACTCCATGTATTTTCTTATTGTGGATATTATATAAGAGTGAAATTAATATGACATTTTCTTTTTTTCATTTAGCATAACATTGCAGCATGTATCAGTACTTCATTCTCTTTTGTGACTGCATGTTTTATTGTGAATGTGCCACATCTTGTTTATCAGTTGATGGATATGTGTGTTTCTACTTTTTGGTCATTATGAATAATGCTGTGAACATTTGTGTACATGTTTTTGGACATAGGCTTTCTTTCTCTTGAGAATATATCTAGGATTGGAATGGATGGATCATAGAGTAACTGTATGTTTCACCATTTGTGTTTAACTATAGACCATTTTCCAAACTGGCTGAATTTTAGTATGAATCCATTAGCAGGGTTTTAGGGTTCCAGTGTTTCCACATCTTCTCCGACACTTACATTTGTCTTTTTTATTGTAGCCATCTTCGTGGTTGTGACGTTGTATCTCATTGTGGGTTATTTTTTTTTCTTTTGGTAGTTAACACTACATAAAATTTACCTTTTTAATCATTTTTAAGGGTATGCTTCATTGGCATTAAATATGTTCATATGTTTTGCAACTACTCCCACCATTATTTCCAGAAAGTTTTTATTTTCCCAGACTGATTCTGTGTATCCATGAAGCAGTAATTCTTTCCTCATTGTGGTTTTGATTTGCATCTCTGGGTTAGTTAATGGTATTGAGCATCTTTGCGTGTTTTACTGCCCATTTGTATACCTTCCCTGAAGAAGTTGTATCTTTATGGCCCTTGCCCATTTTTGATGGGGTTGTGGGAGTTCATCATATATTGTAAACATGAAAGTCTAATGTCAGAGTATGTATATTATTTGGAGAAGTGTTTTTCCATCTTCTGTGTTGTATTCTTTCTTAATGGTGTCCTTTGCAGTATGAAGAGTTTTTAATTTTGACGTTGTCTGGTTCTCTTTATTTTCTTCCCTTGCTCATGCTTTGGTATTATATTTAAGGAACTATCATTTAATCCCAGGTTCATGTGCATTTAGAGGTCCATTTCCTTCTGTGAGTTTTAATTTCATCTGACCCTCAATTTTGTAGCAGACTGCTCTGCCATGTGTTGTTCTCTTCTCTGGGATTATGGCTTGTTGCTCAGTTCATGTGCTACAAGACTAGGTGCTGTGCTCCCTTTAAACCTCTATATCTCCAAGTACATAGGAAATCATTTTTGTTTTCTGACTCCACCATTTGGTTTTTCTCCGGTACTGGGAACTGAACTCATGACCTTGCGCTTGCGAGGCAGGTTCTTTTGCCGCTGAGCTAAATCCCCAGGCCCTGACTCCACCATTTGGGTGAGCTCATATTTTACTCCTTTTATTCTCTGTCTTCTGTCCCTAATTGAGAGCTTGATTATTCATCCACACTCATTCTATTCATATCTGTCTTACCCTGGGCAATCCCTATATCCACATGTAATATCTCACCTGTGCTCTAATCCCATACTTCCTTATTTCTTAACTCCAGTGGTCATCATCATCATCTTTGTTTCAGCAGTCATTCCTATGACCTGATCTTGGATCTTGTTACCCTTCAACCATAGTACCTTTCTGTATCAACACTCTGATTATAGTCACCTGTCCTCTTCTTTTCTTTTCTTTTCCTTCTTATTTCTCCCTCCATTTCCTATTCCCCAACCTCTTCACTTCTCCTCTCTGACTCTACTGCTTGTTTTTTTTGTTTGTTTGTTTGTTTGTTTGTTTGTTTTTCCAGTACTGGGAATCGAACTCATGACCTTGTGCTTGCCAGGCAGGCGCTGTGCCACTGAGCTAAATCCCCAGCCCCTAACTCTACCACTTCTATAAGCTTCATCTTATATAAAGTGTATAGTCAGCCTTTTTCCTGTTTGCTTATACTTAGTGTTGTTCTCCAGCTCTTTGGATCATTCTGGTATACTTTAGGTGCCTAATAAATGATGAATGAACGAGTGATGGAATTAGAAAATCATGTATTGATCTGTTCGACTCCATTACTATCACCACTGGACCTAGAGAAAAATTCAGCATACATGGAATCATTGTTAGAAATTCATGGGCTCCAATTTTAGCTACCTTCTTTCAGTACTGTTTTGCAATTTTTACATGTCGCTAGTCATCATTGTTATTCTCTATAACAGGTACTTTTGGACATTTATCCTGTTCTAATTTTATCATCCGCTCTCTCACTTTTAGCAAATGAGCTTGCTTTTTACCTCATTGAGAAAAACTGAGACCAACAAATGGAATTTGTTCAGCATCCTTCCTGAAGTCTGTTAGAGTACTAGCATTTGCCATCACACTTTCCTTCCTCCCAGCATCTCATTTCAAAGACTTGACCCCCTTCCACTCTGGGCTGGTATCATTATCTGGTCCTTGAATTTTACTCTGCCCATTTCCTGAGGGACCTTGCTCCATCAGTTAGCTCTTGTTTTTTTCTTCTCAGCATGTAAACTGTGAGACCAAAAAGGACAGAAAAGAAGTAGTTAGATATAGGCTGGGCATGGTGGCGCACGCCTATAATCCCAGCACTCGAGAGGCTGAGGTAGGAGTATTGCCATGAGTTCGAGGCCAGCCTGGGCTACATACTGAGTTCAAGGCTACACAGTGAGACTGAACTACACAATGAGACTCTATCTCAAAAAAAAAAAAAAAAAGTAAAATAAAATAAAATAGAAATAGTGAAATATAGCACACTAACTTTAACCATAACGCATATATACTCAATTTCCTCTACCAGGAAGGAGTTCTTTCTCCTTCACCTTTTTAAAAAGATTAGTCTGTATTCACTGTTCCTGTTTTCTTATGTATGATTTATTACTAGTGAACATAGCTTCCCCCTAGGGCTTTTCAGTCTGTGTGTTGCTGGTTGCCTCTGTATCATGATGTGACTGACTCTGTTGCCCATTCTGTTCTCTTTCCTTTTGCCTCTGGCAGATTCTTGCAGTGGTCAGACTTAGGGCAGAGTTCTAGTATGCTCTTGTCTTTTTTTATTTTCACATCAGGCACTGAGACCAAAAGAATATTTTTAAGAAACTTGCTGTTGTATGTGGAATACATTCTTTTCATAGAGTATTTCTCATCTCTGTTGAGTTTATTACAGCACTATTGTAATAGAATGACATTGTTTTCACAGTAAGAGTTTGGATGGATGCATTTTAGTAAATCCATCCAGTGAGAAACCAGGGAGGCTGTAACGTGGATGAAGTAGACCTATATGTGTGGATACTGAGTGTGTGCACAAAGTCAAGGTGCAGGTGTGTATACACATGCACGTATATAGAAAATAGACTTATTTCTAAATACTTAACACCAGAAAATATCTTTATTCATCATAATGAGTGATTTTTATATATGGAGTAGAAATAGAGGATGGAGGATTTTTTGTAGCTTACTTTAATTTTTCTAGGGCACGGCTATTTCTCCTGTAATATTTTTATTTTATTTTATTTTTTTTTTGGTTTTTCTCCGGTACCGGGAACCAAACTCAAGACCTTACGCTTGCCAGGCAGGCGCTTTTGCTGCTGAGCTAAATCCCCAGCCCTCTCCTGTAATAAAACAGTGACAGTTTGGGGATTTTTAGAGGACCATCTTTGACCTAGTCTTACCTGACTTTATTCTGTTATCTGCTTGGATCATACCTTTACACTGGTGTTTTAATTTTAACTTCTAAACTCTATTCACGCTTACTCAATCTCTTTTGCATTCCTCTCACTTCTTGTCATTCAAAGTCACTTTTGCTCCATGTGTCTGATTTTACTGCGTTTCCTCTGTGTTTCCATGGCACCCTGGGCAGTCCTCCCTAGTCCCTGGTGTGGAGAACAGGAGCTTTATTATTGATACTGTGTTCCATGGGTCTATGTACAGTCCTTAGCACATGGTAGAAATTCATTGAAAAGGTTTTAAAAATTAAAGTAATAATGCATAAATTTGACATAAATATCTTTAATACTAGCATGTCTTTCTGTGTAGGTTGTCCTTTTAGACCCTTTAGCCTGAAGCTCTGTGTGAGGAGGCATGTTTTAATTAAACTTAAATTTAGATCTCAGGTGAAATTTAAGATCTAAACTTAAATTTAGATGTCAGTTTATGTTGAAAGACTATCTTAAAAGAACCCTGGGCAGTTTATTGAAGTACATTATGCTATCTCCAATTATCCATGGAGGACAGGAGGCTAATAATTTCATATTTCATTATTACACAAAAGATTAGTATAGCATTTTTAAATAAGATCTCCAAATGCGTTAAAGGAAACCTGCATTGATGTGCTTAGAAAATGTGTAACATGGACTCCAGTAGAGGCATAAACAGAGTTTTTGCTCCTCTATATGAATTGCTTGTTTAACTATTTTTCTTTTCTAGGTTCAACAGATAGATCGTGTGGTAGAAGTTGTAGAAGAAACAATTAAAGGTAATTATTGAAAGGGAAGTAGGCACGTGTATATATTTTCTGAGTTACATTATGAAAATACCACTTGGTTAACACACATTGGACATCTTTACAAAAATTATTATTTTAGATATAAATTATAAAATTTTGGCCTTGGCTTCATATATTGACCAGTGAGTATACATTTGTTTGGCTTATAAATGAATCAGAGTCAGATGCTAGTCAGTTTTTTAAAATCTTATTTTTACTTTTCTATAAAATGGGTTTACTTTGAATCTCAGAAGACAAAACTTAATTAAAATTTAAAATAAGAAAAAAAAATTTTTGTACGTTTCCATAATCATGTAATATCGTGTCACTAGTTGCAGCTTTCATCTCGCCGCAGTGGGTGACTTCTGTTTGCCTCCTCTAGTTGCCTGTGGAGGCTGAGCTGTGTGGAGTGCAGCAGGAGGGTCCTGCCCAGCCCGCAGAAGGTGCAAGGCTTGAGAACAGATCGAGGTGGAAGTTTTCATGCCCACCTCCCGTTTGTGTTGGCTTGACTACTCCCCTTACCCCAAGACAACAGCTTTTGTCAGGTTACCCTCCTATTCATCTCTTCCTCTGTAATTGTTCTTTCCTGTGCCTCCTCAGGCCTGCGGTGGAAACGGCTCTTCAGCGTTACCAGTGGAGGAGTATTGTATTGTCTGTTGTTCATTTTCTTAACTTGCTCGGTGTTTAGTAAATAAGTTTATTTATAAATACCTCTTCAGTTATACAGAGAAAGCATCTGCTTTGCTGGTACCCTAACCCATGAGAGGTTAGCCTTGGAGAAGCAAAAGCTCTGCCCAGAGTGCCAGATGGAAAATGGCCTGGCCCGAGGACTGTGCTGTAACTGTCTTATTTCCATATTTGGTCCTTGTTGGACTCTTTACTTGATTCTGCCTGTTTGCATTCTTAAGGTTGCTTATGTTACTCCCAGTTCTTTAGAAACCATGTTAGGAAGATACATCAATACCCAAAACATTCAAATCCGCTGTAATTAACACAAAACCAGACAAAGTGTGTTTTTATTTTTAACTGTTCTGATTGTATCAAAATGGAAAATTACAAATTATTTGGAATGAATCCTCGTTTTCCATTACATTTTTTCTTTAGAAGATACCAGATTGTAATGTATTTATGATCGTCTCCTTTGTCATTTTGATAATTCAACAAGATATGGAACTGAATTGAAGGAAAGAACTGCAGTGTCTAAATGACATTTAGACATTTATTTCTTTTAAAAATATTACCCCTTAAGTTTGGCTTGTGTGGTCATTACAAGCTTTTTCTTTTTGTATGAGATATCCAAAAGGAATATAAATCTGTGTTTCTTCCAATACAAGTGAATATAAAGTCTTTTAAACCACAAAAGCAACAAAATAAAAAATATTCTTATGTTTATAGAATGATAATGTGACATAACAAATGATTGCACATGAATATTGCCTGTTAAAATTGGAAAAATATTTTTGTCATTAAGTCATATTTTTTTCCTCTAGTCAGCTTCTATTGAAAGAGATCCTATGGTTAGTAATATGTTTGCTGGCGTTTCATTCCATCTAATTTGAAATGCCTCAAGTGGTGGTAATTCAGGATTTTCCCAATATGGTATAATCTACAAATTTAATTGATTTTCTGTTTCTGCTAACTTCTCAGTAATTGATGGCATCTTGGATTAGTTTGACCTACATTCCCAGGATACTTCACCAAGCAGCTCTTTCTTATTTAAGACATTGCTATTAATCTTCACTCTGTCAGGTTTCGTACTTTGCATATGGTGCACCCTTGTTGATGATTGAGTAACCGCTCTGCAGAGTCCAGGGCAGATTTACTTCAGCATGTTTTACAAACTTAATGAGTAGGCGATTTTATTGGGCTTCCTATAGGACAGTATGGCCCAGAAAAACCATATTCTTGTTTACTAGAATAATTGTTATTGGTTTTCAATGTATGCTTTAAAAGAACACTTTTATGCATTCTGTCATTATGTGTAATCTGTGATAATAGCTGCTACGGTACAAATATAGTGGAAGAAAGATTGTGTATTGGTTTGACATAGTAGGGATAATTTGTAATCTCCCTGGTGTAATGACTGAAAAGGATTCTGTTAGAGAAATCAGCCCGTCACGTTTTTTGTGTATTTCTGTGACATTTTAATTTTATCAGGAAAATTATCAGTTTTACTTCCAGGCACACACATACTGACGAGCAGCACTATTATTTATCACCTACAACCTATGTAATGGATTCTTTAGAAAGACATCTTTATACACTATAAGTGGTATATTTACCTATTCCTTAATGTGGCTAATTAAGTTTGTCTAATGTTTTTAGCCACTAAAACTTGAGAATGCAAATAAATGTGTGAACTTGTTTCCCAGGAGTATGCGTATGTTTTTGTTGTGGCTTCAGAATTGTTTTGTATGTTTTTGGTTTGTCTAAATTGTACTGCTTTAATATCTTCATCAATAAAACTACTTCTATTAGTGGATTCATTTATAAGAAGACTTGGGTATTTGATTTCTTCATTTAGGCAGTGGATGGGGGCAGTTGGAACATAGTGTTCAGTAGGTTAAGTTGATAATCCTATTGTAGTTTTCATGTAACATACTGTTAAAATGGTTCACTTTTTTTGATTTTTGAAGATAAGGAAAGGAAATTACTTTAAGCCTAAACCTCATAGGCTTCCCATAACCCAACTCTTCTGTTAGTAGTCCTACTACCTGTCGGATAAAGTACCCCAGCCTTTCTTCAAATAAATAAATAGCAACAAGCGCTTACCTACTGTTAAGTCAAGCTTACACGTTAACTCTTGTGGCTCTTGATAGCAAATTGCGTAAAGATGTAAGTTTTGTTAATTATCTTAAAACTGTGTTATTGGTTAGATTTTTGTGCAAACTGTTATAGTATTAATAGGCCAGTTTCTATTTGAACACCCTTGTTTTTATGTCTGCATATTAATCATTTGCAGATATTTGATATGGTATTCTTTGAGTCCTAAGGATCTGAATTTTCAATCATTTTGCTTCATAAAAATTTCAATCATTTACAGTCATTTACTACACAAAAATAATGTAAAGCACCAGTCCCAGAATATGTTATGTATAAACTTTGTAGTGTTTATTCTAATAGGAGTTGTTCTATCAAAAATACCAAGTAGATCAGCTAATTGTGTTTTAAAGCTCCTATGCAAAATATGTTCAATTAACATATACGTATTTTTGAGACCTCTAATGAATTTACAAGGAAAAATTTTTCCATATTATAGTCTTCCTATATTTTAACAGACTTTTAAGAGAATTGGCATTTGCTATGCTGCATACATACCGTGTGTACCTTATTATGCCAGAGAGGTTTTATTCTTAATTTAGAAAATGCACCAGTTTTTTTTTTTTTTTTTTTTTTTGGTTTTTCTCCGGTACTGGGAACCGAACTCACAACCTTGCGCTTGCCAGGCAGGCGCTTTTGCCACTGAGCTAAATCCCCAGCCCCAATGCACCAGTTTTGATTAAGAAAATATAGTGAGATTGGATGAGGCTATAAATTAGGAAAAAGTGCTTGCAACTTTCTGTCATGTTTCAAATAGAAGGTGAAATTGTAGGTTAATTTTGGTATTTTCTGTTTTGTTTCAACTGTTCTTAACACAACAGTCAATTGTATTATATTGACAGTTCTTTAATACTTCATATTTGAGTTCCTTACAACTAAATAATGGAAACCAATTTGTTGCACATCTAAAATTTTGATAGGAAAATAAATGTTTGTAAAAATAATGTTATGTTTGAAGTTTTTTAAATGAAGACTTTATTGTTAGGGAAATAACTTACTTCACAACCAAATCAAAAGTCAGATATTGGTAGGTAAAATACCTAAATCAAATTTTGGAAAAATTTTGTTTGGCAGTTAGTATAATTAACCACCTGTAAGGTATCCTTTCTTTAGTGATGCCATGGATTTTTGTTAGAAAACCTAGTATTGATATTAATTAGATGCATGATAATGTTCTGTTGATTTTGACATTTTATACCAAATGTTTTTGTGATTTGTATATTTTTTTCTTTAAAAAGTGCATCCTCTAACCCACAAAAAGTAGGTAGAGTAACGCTAAACGTGCACAGCAGGTAAGTTGTAATTACTTCTGAGACCCAGAGAATAAAGACCAGCTTTTTCTTTTTAACTTATTAGCTTGATGGGTGCGGTACGGGAACTCATTTGCAGAGTCTGGGGTAAGGATATCAACTGTGGATGGGTTTTAGGTAGAAGTTTATTTCAGCTTTCGCTCCCTGTAAGAAAGTATACATTTTATTGAGCAATGAAGTAGTAATTGAAATGTCCTAATGAAAGATGGTTTCTAGCGCACGATAGCTTTATTGTAACTCTGAAAATCCAAATGTACTGCTTTAGGCTGCAATGAAAAGTCAGCTGCTGTGATGAGGTAGAGGCCTGGTGGGTACCGCTGAAGAGCTATGTTCTGTGCTTATTTTTGCTACTGGCATTGTCATCTTTGACAGCCTACCTGGACGCACTGGTTCTGTTTCCTAACTTCCTAGTTGTATTACGAGGGAGGTACTTTCCACTGTGAAATTCTTGGAGCGTATGAGTATGTAGTATAAAATTGAGTGTCAGGAGTTTGCTGTTAGAATGGGATACTGGCATTTTAGAAGGTGCTCTCTAGCAAAAGGTGTCAGAATGCGGTTAGTCTTTTTCCAGCATCTCAACTCCTACTTGCAGATTTCACTTTTTGTTCCTCTGTGCCCTCCTAGAATACGAAGTTGTGGCAGATGCTGCCTGTGTTTTCTTCAAGCTACCCCTCTACTCTCCAGTGAAGAGGGTCTTGAGGAAAACCAGTCTTTTTTTTCTTTCTACCTTCTCTCCACTCTTGTTGGGTAGTGATTGACAGTGGGTTTCCGAATGTTGTACAAGAACTTTGTGTGTCTTTGAAGCATTTCCTCTGCTAACTTTCTGGTTCCCATCAAATCGCTCATATATTTTGTTCCTTC